GCATCTACCTGTATGTTTCTACCATGATCACAACCATGGTACAATGATATCAAGGTAGGGTTATGATACCATATGATTTTAATTTATTTAATTTTCTTGGCTTAATATAGTTGTGTTCCAGTACATTTTAGTAGTAAAACTAGCAGAAGAGAGAACAGTTCGAAATGTCATTCTCAATTAGGTGTGCTCAAAAAATAAGGGAACGGAAAATTAGCAGAAATCCGATAAAATGTCAAAATTCAAAATTCCAAGAGTAAACAGTCCAAATCGGACTGGTGAAACCTTACTGAAACGGACGCCAAAATTTAAAAAAAAATAGTATTGAAGACGATACGTTAAAATTAATAATCTATAATAATAATTAATAATCTGATTCATCATTCAGCCAGTCCTCTTTACTACTGGAATCATCCAAAAGTGCTCCATATTTTCTCTTTTTGTTTTTTTTTTGCACTACAAATATTAGTTTTTCCTTTAGTTTTTAAGTTGATCATTTCTTTATTTTTGTTATGACGCGGGAACATTGAAATGTATCAATACATTTTTCAACCTTGTTAGCCCTGCCAATTAAATGTCAAATTCACAATTTGCACATTTCTGCTCGGCCAAATTCATGTAGCTAAAACAAGCAGAAATGTGCACCACTCAGCGCCATTTTTTTCTCGAGAGAGCTGCAAGTTTTGCTAGTTTTTGCAGTACGGGAACGCGTTGTAGCAGAATTAGTACTAATTAGTACTAATTTGTAGGTTCTGGAACACAACTTATGTCATCTTTATTTGTTTATGTATGTGTTTTCTTTTCAATAACAAAAAAAATTGTTCAGAAAATATTAAAATTCGGGTGTTTTCAAAATGTTTATTTTAATAACAAAAAATTGTTCAGAAAATATTCAAATTCGGATGTTTTCAAAATGTTTATTTCAACGTATGCATCGACAATATCTAGAGTTTTTGTAGAGAAATAATCCTTTAGAGATATATAGTACATGATTTTGAAAAGAAGTGTTGACCTTTCATTCAGTTATCGCGGTTTTCAATTATTTATTCAAAATAAATGCAACAAGTTGTTTGATTTTTTATTGTTTTGATACTAATTCTGACATTACAAGCCAAACAGGTAGACCTCTATACTTGCGATTTTTTCAAAGTTGACCTACCTTCTCTTCATTGTACCATGATCACAACTATGCTTTTTTACGGGAAACTTAAGCTGCTATCAGACTATAAGCTTTTTACATATGTGCTATCACTTTTATTATTCGTGTGTTTTTCAGTGTGTATGTCAAAATTGTCATTTTACATATTACTTACACTCACACTGAAATGTAAAATTTTTGTAGCAATTCAATTCTTAAAATTTATGCAATCACACACTCATATGTTTTTTATTTCTTTTTGTTTCTATTGTTGCATATATATAAATATTATGCGCGTTAATACTTGACACGAATATAATTCTACTTCCTAAACAACTTGTTGCATTTGTTATAAGTAAATTTAAAGCTACAAGACCTTAGCTTCAAGGTTGTGTTCTTCAAATATTATCAATCTGCCCTACCTTGTCGTTATTGTATTGTGTAAACCTGACGTTAAAAACGGCTCGTGTATATGTGAAAGATATTAGGTGTGTCTGGTTACCCTAAAATTTGTAACAATTGTTACAAATTGTTACTGGAAGTCGTCTGTTAACCCAAAAGTTCTGCAAAAGAGAGCGTTTGGGGAGAGAAATTTTGACAGTTCTTTCAGTGAGAGTTTGCAAATTCTTGCTGGAAAAATTTCTTCTTGCAATCACTGGCAACTCTTCTTCTTCTCATTCATCGAGATTCAATCAGATGTTTTCTATTGTTTGTTTATTTATTTTTGTGCTTTCAATTTGAAATTTTTTTTTTGGAATTAGCAAGACTAATAGTTTTTGGAGAAAAACGTAAATGTTAATATGTAAAAAACTTGTAAAATTAGTATTGCTTCCTTTGTTTTAATTCTCCTTATGGGGGACAAATTGGTTTGTTTTGATTTGATCAGCTGATTAGTTGCAAGCTTCTGCAGGAATACCGTCTGTTTACTTTTCGCATTTTCCTTGCAAAAGAGAATAAAACTACCTTACTCTCTCAGAAAGAAGTTACTGGACAATTCCTGCAGGAAAAGTAACCAGACACACCTATTATTTGTTGTACGATATATCGTGTACAGAATATAAGCTGCAAATCTGTAATGTAGAAACGCCATTGTTTTGTTTTTTATTTCTCTTCAACAAGCAAGTTTTTATTTATTTATATATTTGTGAAATTTAAAATTTTTGTGGCAATTCATTTCCAAAATTTCGCTAAGATGTAATGATTTTGAACCAAAAATACCTTTCAATCAATTAAAGTCGGGAAACTTTTCAAAATGTTGTCGATTGCAACACTGATTGCCCGCCAAATGTAATTGTGCTGTGTTGTTGTTTTGTTGTTATTGCAGATTTTGTTGTTTGGTATCGGAGTAGAGAAAATTTATCATTCGCAAACCAAATTCACAACGTAGTTGCTTGTTGTCTGGTGGAAAATTTAATACTTTTGGCGTTAGTTTTGATATCGAGTAATGGCAAACATAAACAAAGTCGAAATCGCCGATGATGTACCAGAAATTGGGAAAGCCGTTCTAGATGAATCCAGTGTCACTATGCTTGATGTCTTGGAAGAAGAAAAGGAATTGGAGGAGGAATATGCAGCTGTATTGGGTGCATCTGACGAGAAGGCCTGCACGTATGCTCAGGGCCCTGTTAAACGCCAAGCTTTATATTCATGTCTGACATGTTGCCCAGAGGCTCGCAATGATTTGACTAAATGTGCTGGCATCTGCTTGGCCTGTTCGTATCAGTGCCACGAAAATCATGAATTGGTTGAATTGTATACCAAAAGAAATTTCCGTTGCGATTGCCCGACGGAAAGAATGGGTAGCTCTAACAGATGTCGTCTAAATCCTAGCTTGCTACAGCCTGTGGCCATTAATCAAAATAATTTGTACAATCAAAACTTCCAAGGACTTTATTGTAATTGCCATCGGCCTTATCCGGACCCAGAGCGCACATCAGAGGAGCTTATGTTGCAGTGCGGGATATGCGAAGATTGGTTTCACTTGCATCACATTGATGGTCCAGCAAACTCTCAGAAACTGATGGAAGCATCTAGTGAGATGATTTGCAGTGGTTGCATGGACAAACACGAGTTTCTCCAACACTACACAGGACTATCGTTGAAATCAGTGAATAATTTGAATGAGTCAGTAGCTGATGGAAACGTGACAATTGCCGAAGAAGTATCAGTATGTGAGGATAACGATAACAAGTTGAAGAGTGATTTGGACAAGAGTATTTCGGAAATAATGAATATGGGAGAAGCTGACGAGAAAACAGACACAGATAATGAACCATTATCTAAGAAACCTAAATTGGAAACCGAAGAGCAGAAATCAAAATGCACGCGTCCTATCGATAAGGGGAATTACGAGAAAGGTAAGTATAGAAAACAACCGGCATTTTCTTATTATTTTTTGGCGTTACCTTTACAATTTGCCCAAACGTTCTTTCTAAAGTTTGCTTAATATTTAAAAATCAAATTATAGAGCAATATCCCTTAGCGGGCTTAATAAAAGCTAGGCCTAACTCAACGAAAATACTGTTAACACAAGTTAAACAATTAAATTACATTAAGGATTTAAGAGAAGGGTTGATACCAACATTACCTTGGTTGGTCTTATAAACACTGGAAATATACCAAGCACAAACGGATCTTTAGGGGCCCCATAGTAACCGTGGTAAATTTTTCAAAATTATGATCTTGTTCTCAAGAGAACAGTTTTAAGTAAAGGAACCAAAACGTCAAAACACCTAACTGTACTGACATAAAGTTAATACCAAGAAATGGGCCCTTTACAAAAACGTGTTCTATATACTACGAATCCAAAATGAAAAGTACAAACAAATCGGAGACACACATTACGTGGCTTAAAGTTTTAAAATATTGAATATTTATGGTGGCCCGTTTATGTGGTATTATAAAAGACGCGGAATTTATCTTTAAAATCTTTGTGCGAAGATTTAAAGAAACAAAACTGCAATACGGATAAATGCATGTGCAATAAATTAAACAAATATTTCATTCCAAAAGTGAAATTGTTCCCATTATCGTTTAGAAACTGAAATGCAAAAGTAAAATTCCTTCAAATTTCAGTTTCTAAAGAAATGCCAAATTAGTGACTTTGTCTTCGTCATGTACAGGCTATACAAAACCATTCAACAATAAGAGCTCACCTTCAAAATTGACATACATTTGTACTTTCTATATGAGCTCGTTCGTTACATTTTTGTGATTTTACAGACGGTAGATATAAGCGATAATATAGTTTTTGTAATCCATACAACGGTGGACTTATTAATATACTTTCTAAATTCTCTTGCTTGTCTGTTGGCATTTCTGATTATTATTACAGGTTAGAAAACATTACAGAAATCTTGGTATTGCTTCAATTCTCCAAAAAATGTATATTTTATTAATCTTAGTGTATACTGTATACGGATAGTTAAATGCCATTTTCATAATCTAACATCTTAGGACTACTCTAAACGTCGTTTAATCGACGTAGAATTTTATGCTAATAACGAATATATGCACTTTACATGGCCTCCGACATATATTTCGAGGTGTTGCAAACGATTTATGAATGTCAATATACCCTTCATTTTATGGTAAGGGTATATAACTACATCTCACTAACTATAAATTTTACTTCCTGCTAAAATCCAATTCAAAAGTCTTAACCAACAGAATAAATATGTATCGTGATTTTTAAAGAAACAGGAAGCAGGAGAAACAATATATAAATTACTACTTCAAAAATCATTGAACACAACTATGGACATGATGTGGTTATAAAGATTAAAATGTATAATTTATAAAATAATAATAAAGAAAAAAATAATTAAACTGAGTCGTGGATACTGAAATCAGGCAGAAAAGTACAAACGTTTTATATTTATTTATTTTTCAATCAACGAATTCAAATCATAAAAAGTAAATCATAATTTTTCTTGCCATCGCCAATATAGAGAAATCCATGCTTGCGTGAGTTGATTTTGTGAAAGAATGTCATTCCAAGCCACAAGCTGGATTTTATAACAACAATACGTTCATTTCGTTGAACGTTAATAGAGAACGAATAGCCCTTTGGAACTAAATTTTCAATTGAATCTAGAAAATCTATAGGATAGTTGTAATCACTGCGTTTAGATAAATTTTCTTTTAAATAATTGCGAGGCAATCGAAAATGTTGATAGTAGGACAGATCTTCGCATTGTAACTCATTCAAACCACGAAACATATGGTTCTGAACAACACGTCCATCAGTTAATTTATATAGAGCTCCACGAGGACAAATGGCACATTCTTCGGTTATGATAAAAACAATAGCTGCTAAACGTTCCTCTTCCTTAAGTTTAATTTCTTCCGGTAGAGTGGCAGATATGACTTGATTTGCATCACATTCAAATGATGGGTCCTGTTGGTTGTTCTATGGATTAGTATATCTTTGTCATTCATTAGCTGATTTGTTACATACCAATTTCACACACTTTATTAAACTGGGATCCCCATTGAACGGATCGCGGCACAATATTGTTGCCTGAAAAATCTTTGCATTTTGTACGAATGGAAGCATATACCACTGATATCCGTCTGTGCTGTAAAAGTATTTTCTGTCTTTCAGGCAGTCACTAAGGTACCCAAATGCAATGTAATAATCCTTTTCTATTCCATTGATTCTCCCCCAGAAATAAATTCCGGCAAAACGATTTTCCGTTTGCAATGTTATTAGGGAATTTTCAATCAATAATTTCTGTTCTTGACTTAGTTTTGTACCAAAATACATAAGACAATCTAATGCCTCTTGGAAATAATCAATATTCATGTTGAAAATGTATTGATTAATTTATTTTCGTATATATAACAAATGTGAAAGAAGACAATATTAATAAAATTGCCTTGAAATAAGCCAACTTATCCCATAACAATAAAAATATATTTGTGTTTTCATATAAAACCTAGCAATACAGTGCGTTAAGTGATTTTGCTATAGAACAAGCTATGCATTTTTTAATATTTTAATAATACGTAATATTTCCTTACTTAAAACTAATAAATGATTTTTTTCTGTGTAGGACCTACATTCTGGGGTACAGACTGGAGAAACTCACTTTGTCGTTGCCCGTCTTGCATGTTGGTTTACAAGAAGGAGAAAGTTGAATACCTTCTCGATTCTGAGGATTCGGCTAAGAGTTACGAAGAACGTGGTATGCAAAAGGCCGCTGCTGAGTCATCCTATGAGCAGGGTATACGAGCTTTGGCTTCAATTGATCGTGTACAACAAATTGATGTAATTACCGAATATAACCGGATGAAAGACAAGTTAAAGGACTATTTGCAGACATTTGTTGCTAGCAAAAAAGTTGTTACTGAAGACGACATAAATCGTTTTTTCAGCGAAATTCGTAATGAGAAGAACGTTGAGATTGGTGTGCCACATTTTTGCCGTTAATGCATGTAAAACAATTAAAGGACATATTTGTTATTTTGAGCATACATACATATTCATATACATATACATCTATTCAATTTTATTTTAATTTGTTCTTTGTTATGGTTATTGTCTTAGCATGTGTATTATATGACATTCCAAAATTTCATTCAAATAGATTATTCATGTAAAGAACATTCGCTAACACGTGAATGGTCTAGCGCCGCATTCGTAAAATAAAGAACATTTTTGTAATATTTATGTTATTTTTCATGTAAACATTAAAACAATTATTTCTTTCAATAAATCAATTTTCTGTATTTTATTGCATTTATATTTTCGCAAAACGGAAATTAAAGGGTTTGTGGTTGATTAAAGACTTCATAGATTTCCAGAACCTGCAAGAATCTAACAGTTTTGCAATATTAAGCATTTTTTGCTTTATAACTAAAAATGATTTTTCTCGAACACATAAGAAAACTATATTCCAAGCGACGAAGCCAAGCTAATGTATTGTCACTTTTAGAATATACAATGGATAATGTTTATCAATTTCTTTGTGGTAAGGCAAGATTGTCGTTGCATTGAATGTTTTTATACCCTTCACCATGATTCATAAATGACTATGTCATAGTAAAGCCATATTTACTGACAAAATCAATCTTATTATTTGTCTGTCTCATTTGGTTTAATTTATTTTAATTTATTATAATTTAATGTTATTTTCAATTATATGAAAACTAGCTGGCCCGGTCCGCGTTGCCGGCCCGTACTTTTAGTCTTTAAAGCATAATAACTCACAGATCTGACTTATTTAGGCGGCACAATTTTGATTATAAGTAATGACTCCATTATAATTACTCCAATTTTGATCATAAGTAATGACTTGATTATGAGTAATGACTCCATGACTAAATATAAATTAATATTCATGGCAAAAATTATAATTACCGTCGGTTTTAGATATTTTGAATAGCTTGATCTTATTTTTCAGCTATAGGCTTTAATTTGAGTGTTAAATACCTATATGATAAAGAACATCTATAATAGCCCCATGTCAAAATTCAGATCAATTTTTGATATTGTAAAAAGCATTCAAATGAGCTATAATTTGAAATTTGTATTTCCAACGTTTAAAATCCGTTACTGCGTGGTATTCAGTTTTGTCCACCTCATACTTGAACGCAGAATGTTGTCAGAATAGCCAAAAAAATTACTCTTTTGCTCCGATTACCGTAAGATGGGCATTAATTATTTATCATTTAAATTGTGCGGTGGAGATCCAATAAAGTTACTTTATAATTTCGTATTTTTTACATGTTTCTGCCACAATTTACGTTATATAGACGTACATCCCAAATCTACGTTCCCAACCAATATTCTCTTGGGGGTTACAAATTCAATAGGTTACCAAAATTTCTTTTCTGACCACACATTGGTTGGGAAAGTGGACTTGGGGGTATAATAATGTGGGGACTATACTTAAATAAATTCCTATGAGGATAATTATCTGTGAGATGATTTTCTTTCCCAGGGTTTTTTACCCCAGGTAGCCTCAAGACTAAGATGCGTACTTTTCCGAAAAATAAAAATTTATAAGAAGAGGTTTTCTTCCCCCTTAGAAACAAAGATGTCAAATAAGGGCAAAAAATGAAAAAAGTGGCCAAGACCCCGAAAATACCTTAAATCATATGATGGTGATACCAAAACGTGATAATTTTTTGCAAAGATGGTTTCTTCTTAAATTATCAACATAAGCTAAAATTAGTACGAAAAATATGGTTAAAATGTAGAATATACTTGAAATCGGGTTGTTACGTTATCAGGGGTTATGACCCATATCATGGCCTGGTAAAGCGATTAAAGGTATCTTGAGTGTTTAGGAAGAATTTCTATTTTGCGTTCTTTATAGTCGGTATTTGACTGATTGCAGTCCCAATGTATTTTGCATTTTGTGTTCTCATTTGACAATTTATTGTCATATGAAAGAAGCAGGTCCACTTTTTTAAATTAACCCCATAACGCTTCTTCGGTCATTTTTGTTTGTTTAAATGTGTTCGCATCTTCCAGCTGAAGCACGATGTAGGTCCTGGATTTTTTTATTCATTTTTAATATTATTCATTCAGAATTCAAACCAATAAAAACATGTACACTTCAATATAGAAAAAAAAAAACGAATCTTCAACTGGTTCGCTGTTTTTTTGCGGCGAATTTTTAAGGTCCTTACATAGTTTGTCGGTAGAATGTACTATTATTTTGATATTTGATATTGATGAAAAATTGTCGATTTTTCCCGATTTTAGAATTTTCATATAAAGCGACAACGGATAAAATTGTTATTTAAAGATTTTATGTATTTATTGGGTATTACGAATAAATACATAAAATCTATAAATAACAGTTTTATCCGTTATGTCTTTATACTACCCAAAAAACCTACACATCATATTAGAATTAAAAAAAAAAACACTACAAATGTACATTCGAAAATAGTAAGTCAAAATGGAAAAAATATGCAATATAAAACATTACTATTGTATATTTTAAAAGTCAAAATAAAAATGTTCAAATTTCACATTTTTACGCGATTTTTTTTTGGATTTTATTCTTTTCTGCCAAGAGGCAATTCCGAATTTGTCTAAATCGTTGAAATCAGACCGGCGGTCTTTATGTTATAAGAGTAGTAACTAACACAACTTTCTTTTACATATAGAGAGATAGATGTAAAAGTAGGCGAGTTCCTCAGCCCCTAAATAAGTACTTAGGTTTGGATGGAAAGCCAACAGCATCTCGTGTAATAATTATCAAACCGATATCTTCACTATTTTGGCAAATATAAAGATTTTAGATAAATCGTAATAGTGGGCGTAAAAGGAGGCGTGGTTAATATTTTTTTATTTAAAACCCTAACTCGGGGTATGACGAACGTTTGTACAAAAAATTATGCAAATCGGTCCAGCCGTTTTCAACTGATTCCGTTACCAACAAACAACAATTGATTTTTATATATATAGATTTTTGAATTCAAATATTAATACCAATTTATTTCATTGACTTGATTTCTTGAGAAATGAAATTGATGGCGAGTTACATGGAAGTGTAGTACCGAATTATGTGGTGGCGAAACGGAATAGATGATGTCGAAATAATTTAATGGAATCGAATTTTAAAATAGAAGTACATTGTATTGCCAAACTATATAAGGATCCTTAAACATTTGCTGTAAAAGCGAACAAGTTGAAGATTTTTTCAATGTGTTATTCTTCTTTTGTCAATTTTTTTCAATTTGTATTATCTAATTGAATCCAGGAAATTTTTTGTGAACAAAATAAAGAATAATTTTTCACTATATACAAATTTTCACCAAAAAATGAAATAGGTGGGAAATACGATGTTAACTGACATCTACCTTTCAACTCCAGGGCCGACATCGTGGTTCAGCTGGAAGATGCGAACACATTTGAACAAACAAAAATTACCGAAGAAGCCTAATGGGGCTCATTTCAAAGCGTGGAACTACTTCTTTTCTGTCACAATAATCCGTCCAATGTACAATCAGAAAAATACCGAATATAAAGGGTGGAAAATAGTGGAGCGAATGGGACTCTTAGTAAGAAAAGGATTTCTATCCTTCCAGAAATTCTTCCCAAACATTCAAGATACCTTAAATCACAGAAATTATTTTGCCCTCCTTCCATAGTTATTTATTTCTATTTAGTCGAATCAATATTTATATTAAAATTTGTTCGTTTGAAATATTATGCTATGCAAAATTTGCATTAAAGACTAAAACTACGGGCCGGCAACGCGGACCGGGCCAGCTAGTTTTAATATAAATATTGATTCGACTAAATAGAAATAAATAACTATGGAAGGAGGGCAAAATAATTTCTGAATAGTCAAACTTAATTACGCTTTTACACCCATTACCATAGCACCTCAAATTGCGCATTAGAGTCCCCAAAAAGTCTATGTAAAATTCAATGACGATCATAGTAAAATTCAATGACGATTAAACAATACCCGCGTTGTTGTCCGCCAATCGGTAAACATCACTATAGATCGGCGGGCATGGGGACTGTACCAAAATATTTACGTATGTTGACATTTTCCTGTAAGATGGTTCTCTACTCACAAAGTAGCCTAAATACAGCAAATAATGGCCAAATCAGTTGAAAAACGTGGCCAAGACCACGGTCACAGCTGAAATCAGGGATACATTTATGTAAGGGTTATACCAAAACGTGGCCCAACCAATATTCTCTTGGGGGTTACAAATTCAATAGAAAACAAAATTTTCTTTTCTGACCTCCAATTAGATGTGAAAGTGGACTTGGGGATACTCCAATGTGGGGACTTTACTTAAACAAATCCCTATGTGGCAATTATCTGT